GTGTTCCCATTCGCACAGCATACCTAAAAATAATAATAATAAATATTCCCTACATTTTTAGTTGTTTCTTTGCAGCAGGATTGGTTGCAAAGGGCAGTACAGACTTTTCTTATCTATAAGACTTACTGTAAACTGAGGAGCCCCTGGTAGCATTTAAAAACATAAGAAGCTGCAGATTTTCTGGGGTAGTATGTGAATATAATATATGCAGAGCGTACACCCAAGTAAGAGTTCAGTAAGCCTTAGGTAACTTAGACTTAAAGTAAACCTGTCATTAAATAAATACTTATTTCCTATGGTCCTCAGCTCCATCTAGGGGCCATAATGCGATATTGCATTACAAAATAAAGTTTTTGGCTCTATACATTCACATTCATTCTCAGAGATTGGTTGGGTGAATGACTCTGCAAATTGTTTATAAATAGACCCCATTGTGTATTATTTGGTTGGTGGGGCTACTCATCCTCGCACTTTACTGTATTCAAATCTTTCAGAAATGTGTCACATGAAGAAATGTAATCAGGATAAAACATTGTTCTATGTATTCTAATCTTAACATGCTAACAAAGAATAAGGCACAATACATTTCAGCATGTGTGTGTGATTTCAGCATGTGATGACTTCTCATAATGAACAAAGAGGATAAATGGGACTGTGACTATATCGTAACCTGTACAAAGATGGGGCTTAATTCATAAGCGTGTCCAACAGTCCACAGCTTTGATTAGATTTTACCTTTCATCTGCTCTAAGAAATCAGAACAATGAAAGATGATATAGGTTACTGTTCTTTGCACATCCTTCTTGTCTATTTAGGGGACAGTCAGACTGGGGTTCTTGACCTAAGTTTCAAATCGCAAGATCCCTACCATCAACTGTCTGCAACCAAATCTAACAGTGACTAAGCCACTTGATGTGACTGTCCTCTATACATATGTGGACTTTGTGTCATGACTGAACTTTTATGGGCAGGCTAGACATACAGTAAGTTTAAAGCACACCTATACCCATCACTTTTTGGGGCTTTGGATAAAGTAGGGAAGGCTTAGAACTGCTAGGTTTTCATTGCTGCCTTTGTTCCCATTGGAGAGACGATTGGGATTTAACTGTGTAAGACATTAAGGTGACACTAAACTCAAGAGTTAAATATTGAAGTCCCTTAACTATTAACAAAAATGTATCTTATTTGTGTATCACTCGGCTGTAAATCCCCAAATCATCTCTGAATTGGTGCCAACACTGTCCTTCCTTCTGGAGGGGGGCTACTTTTGTTCCCCATGGTCCCTGTGTGTGTTGTAAAGTAGCCACCACTCCAAGCTCGCTCCCATGGCGGACTACAATCTCAATACAAATTAGTAAACAACAGTAAGATTGTAGTCCACCACAGGAGTGAGCTTGGAGTGGTGACTACTTTACAACACACACAGGGACCATGGGGAACAAAAGTAGCCCCCCTCCAGAAGGAAGGACAGTGTCAGCACCAATTCAGAGATGATTTGAGGATCTACAGCCGAGTGATACATGAATAAGATACATTTTTGTTAATAGTGAAGGTACTTGAATGTATTTTTATCATGTAACTCCTGAGTTTAGTGTCACTTTAAATATTAAAAAAATGTTCCCCATACCAGTGAAGGAGATAAACATGTATACAGACGGTACAATTTACATTTTCATAAAAAAAACATTCATCAGTATATTAAACTAAAACAAGTGCTTACTTACTGTATAGTGTATGACTATATAGACATGAATGTAGTGGACCGTATGGCCCTATATGACCCTATAACACTAATGAGGACATATTGGCTTATTCGCTATACAAAACAATGTATGTGTGAAAAGCCTCAGGCAGTCATTCCCTGAAACATGGGTTACATTGTCAATGACTTGAACCTGTTCAGCATCATTGTGAACTATATCACTGCCCCAGTACTGCAATGCCACCATTCAATAATGGCTGCTTCCACCAGTGCATTCCGCACCATGACATTCACTTTAAGCTACCCCAACATGGGAGTGCCTCCCCCCCCCCATGCACTGGTGAGTGATCAGAAGGTCCCTTTATCACACATCTACTTTCTAACGCTCATTGAACAAGCTCCCCATTGACAGTGAAGTATAGTAAAGCATTATCCCTGCACTCACATCAGAAAAAAAGGTGAGTTGTGTGGAAATTTTTAATCCGTTCAGTTCGACTCTAAGGCCTTGACATTATACATTGTGATTGTCTGTACTTCATTCCCTGTTTTTGGCACCCAAAAAATTTGGCAACTGGACATCCTGTATAGGAAGCTTTGCTTATACTCCTGAGATTCGCTAAGTGTATTCTGTTTAATGAATGCAATTTAATGAAGGCAATTCTAGAGGAAGAGTTAGTACAATTAGAGTAAGGCCTACGTAATGTATCTACCAACTTGGTCAACAGAAAGTTTAAAAACCAAATGGGGAAGCCAAGTATTAAAGAGGAACATAAATGTCCTCAGTTATGATTTGGGCAACTGGACTTCCACACAAAGACCAAATGCCATAAACATGACTAGACAATGAAAAATGAACATAGTATAAACCGGTATGAAGAGGAACCTTAGACTTGGCACCATGCTACACAAGACCTATGCAATTCATAATATAATCTTTATGTTTATTGTGCACATTGTTACAAATCTATGTTATCATAGTTATATCTTTTAAGCGACTCAATGATTTCCAAAACAATAATAAATTACTTGTTCCCAAAATGTAACTAGAATACACATTGGCCTTTACACAACAAGTATAAGGAGAAACATGCACAGAAATCAGTTTTCATTAGTCTGACTAAATCAAACTGCTAACTGCTGATTTATGATTGGTCGTTATGGGATACTGCACATCGTTGGTCTTTGCATTATGCTACTAAATACAGTAAAATGACTAGAATGACCTGGTAATTTAACAATCAAAATAAATACATCAACATTTTGATACAGGGAATTGTTCTGATTGCCGTGGATGGTCAAAAAGATTTTTTTGTAGGAATTAAATAAAAAGAAGTTGTAGGAATTGTCAGAAACTGAATCTGATGGACATCTGTCATTTTGTTTTAACATTAACTATATGACTACATTTCTAGTGTTGGTTCAGTTGAACCTTGTCTTGTGTGACTGTTTATTCCTAAAATTCCTACAGCAGTGAGGACACCCTGAAAATAATACCTATCTTCCTGTACGACCATCATGACCATTATTTTGTAATATCACACAAAGAGCAATGGTGCATAGTAATCTAAAGCAAACAGATATCAGCTTTTAGCCATTTCACATCATTGGCCAATAAAAGAAGATTCTGGATTGGTTGGTATGGAATACTGGACTTTGACCACTGTTCTTTGTCTTATTAAAGTGCACCTGCAGTTTAGAAGCAAACGCTATGCTACAAAGTATCAGAGAAGACTGACACTGGTCTTTTAATTAAAGAGTTTTAGAGTATTTTGTGGAGGATGTTGTTAAAGTGTATGTAAAGCCAATTTTTCTAAAGGAAATATTTTCTTGTTACCTCCTGTTCCTGTGACAACTCTAGAATGTTTGATTTCCCATTACTTTCACATCTAAAAGAACAAAATAATGGTTTTACACACATTTATTATGGCAGAACTATGGAGAATGGATCGTGGGAGAATTTGGCACTTACAAGTATTTATTTTTTTAATGCACAATATTCTGCGTAAACGTGGGGGTGGGGGAGTTAAACATTTTGGGGTTTTTTCACCTTTTTTTATATGTGACTTTTATTTTCTTTTTTTATATGTTACTTTTCTGTGCCCGCTAGGGGGCGCGCGCAAGCAGAAAAAAATTGCCGTCTGGAGACGGCAACCCGCAAATGCTGCAGTGCCGTCAGTCCGTGTTTTTACTACGGGCGGACGGCAAGTGGTTAATCAACTTGCATACATCAATACAGCACAGGGGTGCAATTATTTTTTGCTTTAATATTTCAATTTATTTTTAATTACTGCAAGCCCTTATTTCTCACAGATCAATAGTTTTATCTCCTCCAAAATCAGTTGTACTAACCCTTACAGAAACAAAGAGCAAAAGGTGTGGATTTTACTTTTCACATGCAAAACAACCTAAATTATAATATCAACGTGTAAAAAAATGAGGTGGTCTGCTGTTCCTGAAATTAATAAATAATGCACAATAATAAAAATTCAGTGTGACCAAACAGTGGCATTCTAAAGTTGTGACGGCCAAACCTAGCCCCCTCAAAAAACATAACATCATAGTGTTGCCATAGAGATATACAAGAACAGACTTTTGTAACACCCTCTAAAACCCTGAAAGAACCAAGTACAATGGTATTCCTCCTCCACTCACCTCCTTTATTCCTCAACTACAGGTGCACTTTAAAGTAAATCTATTGTGTGATAACGACCACATATAAAACATTTTAAAAAGCTAAAATTACACTGTAAATAAGCCATATCCTCTACTAGACCAGCACCTTGTTGCTAAAAGGAATCTTTGGCATACCATGGAACAACATGATTGCAAACGCATATGCGGTAACTGGACCATGTCATCGGTTTACATATTGCAACAGACAAAAGAATGAACAGTAGCTTAAGGCATTCTTCATACTGATCAAAACTCTCTTGGCAAACACAATACTTATTTGAAATGTATAGAGTCATCATTGAACCTCCAAGGTAATCTAAGAATGAGCTCTCTCTCTCTCTAAGTAGACAGAGATGAGCTATCAGCACCTTTGCATATGTTTCATTTTTAAATAATATAAAAGAAATACAAGAGGATGATCCTCATTTATAGTAAAAGTTCAGCGCCTCTTCATGTTCAGTGCATGAGTTTAGGTTGTCAGGGTTGATAGATATCCATCTGTACAAAGTCAATGGTCTCATGAGCCTGTCTCATCTGTGCTGCTCATGGTCCTTCCGACACATTAAATAGAGATGAGGTATTTAAGAGCAGACTGACCATGTGGCACAGCAAACTTATATGTGTTCTGGAAAGAGACATTTACTGGAAATATAAATGTTTTTGAGGCACTCTACTATGGCTTGACCATGGCTACACAATATCAAACCTCTGAGCTGTCGGTACTGTAGCCACGATGTGGCATCATGGGCTCACTGCTTCCTGTTTCTTGACCTTCTTCCTTCTTTTTAGATTTCTGCTTACGTCTAAGCAGGAAAACAATAATGGCTATTAAACAGACTACAAGTAGTAATATTGCAGCCAGAATGACCACAATGATGACGACGTTGACCTCACTTTCTTTATTATTCAACTCTCTTGGAATAATCCCATCAACAGTAATTTCCTTCTCTGGAACAGTCTTCTTGTTGCTGCGTTCTAATATTATGTGTTGGATATTGGTGCCTCTGTTGTTGTCCATGCCGATTTCCTGAGCAATCGTTGGGGCTTCGCTGACATCTCTTTTCTTACGAGCTGCTAAACCTTCTGAAGGACCAGCATTCAATACTGAATGGTACTGATATTCAACACTTCGTTTTCCAATGCCTCTGTTAGCATTTTCTTTGGACCTTACAGTATAGATGGTGTGTATGTACCACTCTCGTCCTGTAGACACCTGTAGAACATTCAAACCATATGCTTTTAAAAGACATTCTTACAAGAGTGATACACATTTTTCATTCAATTATCCACAGTAGACCAACAGACACACTAACATTACTACTTGTGTCTCAGCTGCATTATATGGCAAAAGGTTTGTTGAAACACCTATATGAGATTGTTAAACATCCTACCCACAAAACCATAAGCACTAATATAGATTTGGCTCCCCCTCTGCTTCTTCAGCAGCTACCACTCTTCTGGGAAGGCCATTCTGCCAGAAGAAAATTGTGATGTCAAGTATTGATGTTGTGTGAGAAGTCACCTTTAACTGGACTTCTTCTATAATGCTGAATACATTTTGCTGCTCATGCAAGAAACTTCCATGTGTCAGGAACATACCACAGCATTTTTAGCCACATGTTCCTGACATTTTTTAGAACCATGGAAACTGCATACATAATCAGTGAAATGCCTTCAACATTATAGGAAAGTCCAGCTGAATGTGCCCATCTACTACTAGATATACCATCACCTGGGTATTTTATACAATCTCTATGTGAAATAACATGCTCTTCCAATGGTCAGAGACGCAGGACCTTTAGGTGAAGTGATTGCTGTAATGGAAGCATATAAGTCAAACTTACAAATGGGCCCCACTGCAACATCCAAATGCTGAATGTTAAAAACATGAGGAAGGAATAAAAAATAAATATATTTTAGTGATGAAACACTTAATTTAAAAATAATCTGGTAGAAATCCACATGAGTTAGATTGAACTTCCACTTTATAAATGTAGATTATGATAAACAATATTAAAGGTATGTTAAAAGCTTGATAAAAGCTTGATGTAATGTGTTTATGGCCGTTCTGTGTAGTAATTTATTTCTCCCACCCTTGCGTTGGTTGCCATCACTCATCAAAAAGGGTCTAACCAGTGATGCAAAACAGAACTCATAAATTAGCTTAAATACCAAATGGCTGGACCACAACATGGTGCCTTATAATAAAACTTTGGATTCCCCTCCTAAGATAACTAGAGGGATAAAAAGGGTACAGGGTCTATTTTTTAATGTAAACCATCTTTAATTTAGAGTCTGCTTTCAGTAGTAAGATTTGTATATTGATCCTGAGTGTGACAACATTTTTGTTAGCAAACACACACCTGGAACAAAGGAGTGGAGTCAACTTTAAATCCATCCGAACCCGGCTGTTTGACTAGAGGCAATGCTTCCGGATCATCTGCAGCAAGTCTGGCATTAAACAGCACGCTGCCAAATCTGCTAGCCTGAGTTTCTGGCTGTGCTTTGTCCTGTGGAAAAAGTCAAATGCCAAAAATGAATACAAACAAATGCATAACGTAGACATAAAAATGAAAAATAGTAATCAAATGTAAATCTATTATTATAGAACTATTTATTTTACCCATGAAACCTGGATGAATATTACATAGAACAAAACATGTAAAAAATGTATTCCCAAAGCCTCAACAGAGCATATGAGTGCAACCACGCACATAAGACGATCAGAAGTTCAGGTATAATCTTAGCACCCTCAGGCATGTATTTTAGCTTGCCCTTCGAAAAACATTAATGCTTAAATTGGTGGAACATTCATGTTTCTGCTTGTGCAGAGTGAAGAAGGGTGAAGGCAAGCAATCAGTTTTTCTAACTCACCTGGCTGCAATTTCCAAAATGGTATCTACCTATACCCAATGTGTCAGAAAACAGCTGAGGAGAGTGACTGCAATTACATTACCAATGTTGCTCACACTTATTTCACAGTCGGAAAAGTTTATAAGCCTTCAAACCAGCTTTGATAGTAAGGCTACTACTGAACTTACCAAAATTTTAAATTGGTACAGAAGAGATGATGAATCAGCAAAGCAGCCATATTCACCGTTGGATGGATTATATTTTGGAACATAGCCATCTGCTCCAGTGCACAGGAAGACCTTCTCGATATTACAGTAAAATGAACTACCCAAGTTCTGCACGGGGTCCACCATCACACGACCATAAATAGTGTCACCTATAGAATCAATAGTTAGTCCAGATCTGCATAATATAAAGACAGGCTCTTTTCTGATGTTAAAAATAACATTTTATGACATATCACATTTGTTCTATAATTTCAACAACAAACATGCACTTTAAGCAAAAGAGAAAACTATTTAGATCACTGATTGCTTAGATCCTACACTTATTACTTGGTCAAGTTACATCCGTTTTTGTACCCAACATTCAGGCATGTCTGGAGGTATGCAAGTTCTAATTGCACTAAAAATAGGAATAATTTACTGACACAGCTATTGAATTTATGATTCTGATGGTACGACCTACAGAAAAAAATCAAATGCTGCCAGAGCTCTCTGTCTTCAGAGAGCTCATATGCCATTCATATAAGGCTGTAGGTTTGAGTTACTAAAGGCAAATAGGCAGTCCACCTTGCAAAGGAATTTACTATATCACAGGTTAGTTAGTGTGTAGAAAAATGTATAAAAGGCTAGAAATACTGATGCAGGCTTAAAGTTTTATCAACATTTCTATCATCTCCTAGAGATGCAGAAGAAACTTAGATGGCCACAGAACATTTTTCATTTTTACAATTCTTCCTACAGAAACAATCTAATTTTGTCCTAAATGATATCTAAACCCAAGAACACACATTTAATATAGTGCAGCTTACCAGTCCTTATATTATACTTCAAGCATTAAGTGATCATGTACCCAGGTTTACTTATACGCAATACATTTAGTGCATTGAAAAATAGCATCTTTTTAACTGGTTCAGAAGTTACAGCGTCAGTTCATCAAAAGTGTACAGGTATCATACCTTCAGAAAAGGCTATGTCACTTTCTTGGCCAAATCCCATTGATCCATCTGACAACCAGAGAGATTTTTTAGATAGAAGTAGCAACTGGGTGTTCAAACTGAACTCTGTAGCCACTGGATCGCTGACCTAGGGAGGGAAATGAAAGGCAATGCATCAGCTGCACCAGTCTCTGCGATCACAGCCTTCTCATGGTTAAAATAAACTAAACAGCATATGGAGTACAGTACAGTACAGTACAGTACAGTACAGTACAGTAAGGGCTCATGTAGATGGGGAAGGTTTTCCTGAGTTTGAATTAAAACTCATGTTAACAAATTCTTATTTAGTATAATTAAGTAGTGTAGATGGCAGTTCTGAGGCTACGTGTGACCTGTTTTGTGTTACACTGTGTTTCTTTGGTTGCAGCATGCCTTTTTGAGGTGCGTGTGAACTGCAGGCAATGCAGATCAAATGCGGCCTTTTATTTAAAAACTATGCATTTTCTAATTGAACACATGCGTTTGAGGAGCGCTGAGGTCAAATGAAAAAAGCAGCGTTTGACAAAAACTCCCATCAACATAAGCCCTAAAGATTGCTGACCATGGCAAATACTAAAGCTGTGTATTTAATCGAGTATACCATTATAAGTGTTGCATTTGAATTGAATTGTATTAATACAAACTGTGTAACAGTATAAACAGACAACCAAAGGGGCAGATATAATTGTTTAAAATATGTCTTTCATTAAAACTCATCACTGAAACATTATTATTCAGAACAGGAAAATACCCCTTTCTCGTAAATAAAAAAAGAAAATAAAACTGCCTCTGAGCTCTCTTTGTAACCTAAAGCCTAGGCAATGATCACATGGCCTCTAGCTATCAGAAGCATTGTAGATGTTTTGTGTCTATTGCTTCTATCTGACAGGCCCCATCTAGTAGACTTGCAGTGAGATAATCGGATCAGCAATCATACTGCACATATGTAATGAGCAAATGTGGCTAACTAAATGAGTTATTATTACAAACTACGCATTAAAAAATGTTAAGACAATAATACAAGTAACATGCTAAGAGACCTCTTCCTATCCAATCATAATATATTTACTGTTTAAAGTCATGTAGGTCATGTGATTCTGTGCAACTAATTTGACTGGAATGATATTGTGTGTAAGGGTTTTTAGAAGTGGCACAAGCTAGGTTCAGCTTCTGATGTCCTGAATTAGGTAACATAACATATATCCAGTAATTAAAATTCAAAAACCTGTTGGAATCTGATGTCAACATCGAATGTTATTGGCTCCCGAGGATTACACACGGCTGGCAGACCATATGCTTGATATGGAGCTGTGGTACAGGGGATGAGTTTGACGGTGTATGTTCCAGAGTAATCCCGGACCTGTTAAGGACATTATGAGAGAGTTCGTTATCAGAAATGTTTTTTGAACACTTTTTTATGTAACATAAGTTGCAGTTATTCTCCATAACATATGCATTACATTCATGACACTATGATTCATATCTGTATTTTTAGTGTTAAGGACAGTTTTACATGGGCGTCTGTCAGTTCTGATCAGTAGTGGTCCATGTACAGATCTCACTGCTGATCGGAGCAGTACGGAATGGATGTCACCATTGAGAAATCCCTGGCAGTCCAGTTTATTCCTCCTTCTTATGATGGAGGCAACTGAACCTACTGGAACCATGTTCCATGGTAGGTTGGGGAGTAGGACATATCCATGTCTGTATACATCAGATTAGCCCCGATCTGTCATAATCGGTTCCACCAAAATGGAACTCTGTTACGTTTGATTTTGCAGAACAGGACGAAGTCGGGGGTAATTCCGATCAGATCCAACTGAAAAAGTGGCAGGTGGAAGTGATCGGACCGCCAGTATGAAAGGGGCCTTACAGTAGTGTTGGTAATAACAAAAGCAAAAATCTTCTGGGTGGAAGTGGGGTAGTGGAATTCCTTAAAGCCCAATCCCGGCTTGGGACAAAATAATTTTATTCCCCTGGCAGTGGCTAAAAATAAAAAAGCAGCTGTGGCTGCTTTACTAAACTGATTTTCAGAACAGTCCCCTGCAGATTCAGAGATCCAGTGATGCAGATTCAGAGAAGGTCCTAATGAAGCCCTGAAGTGGGAGGGGTGAAACGCGTCAACACTTGTTCCAGCTACCTCTCACCTCCTGCTTGCCATGCCATGGGAACGCTACTTTTTCTAATCTTATCCAGTGATGCAGCACCATTTTATGGGTTAAATTATGCACAGAGTCATTTATCCTGCAAGCCCAAGGTGTCAAGGCTCCAACCTGCCCTGGATTTAAAGGAGGAATGCTGAGGAGAATAGTGCCATGTCATTGTGTGATACCGCTCTCAAAACCACAAACGGTTTTCATTGCTCAGTCCTGTCTTCTTCCTAGGACAAAGCAGGCATTAGGATGAGCACCACCCTAGAGCTATAAGAAAGAGGACTATCCTTTTCATGAGATTTGCACATGTGCAGTGTGCACTCCCTGTCCTCTCACAGCTGCTGAGTTCACTGCGTGTGCGGCCCTCAGAAAAAAGATGGTACTCCCTTCTAAAGAGCTAGGGGGCACTTGTCCTAATGGCTGGTCTGACCTAGTAAGAAGACAGAACGGAGCCATGAAAACCACTTGCAGTTTTTCGGGTAAGAGTCTGTCGTTGCGAAAGCAGCCAACAGGTGTGTTAGCAGTAGAGAGGCATAGTTATAAAAGCCGATTAGCTTACCATGATGCTTTTATATATAGTAAATTCACAGAGTGTTTTATAAAAAGATAAACTAACACTTTAACAGCAGACATCTCCTTCTGCATAGTAACAGACATATTGTTTTCTTTTAACCATTTAAACTGGCTGACAGCTTATATTAAGGGCCTTGTCACAGCTATGCATTTGTGCCTGTATTTTCCATTGAAATTAATAAAGACAAATCAAAATACATGTCGACACACATTACAACGCAAATCAACTCATGTCATTGGACCTTTATTATTAAGGTGCAAACAGGTTGTCGTATAAACTAGAGAATTTCAACTACTAAAAACTTTTAAACATTTTGATTAGGTCAATTTATAGACAGACTACTTTATAAAAAATGTGCATCATAGTATAAAGGAAAATGCGTGCTATGTAATCCCAAATCTCTTACCGCAAATTCAGAAACAAAGCTCCACTGCTGAACTGGTTGGTTATAGGTTGGTTCACTCCGTACAAGACTTAGAGTAAAGATCAGCTCAGGGTGGTCAGCTGACATGACCATAGAGGACAAGGAAGTTCCTAAAACACACAGATTTGGGTTATTACTTTAATAATTTGACAATTATAGGCTCAGCTGCAGCCAATTTTCTTTCTATGTTTTGTATGGACTTGGGAAGATTAAAAACTTCTGTTAAATTTTAAAACCTGTCCATTACCCCAAGGGGGAAATGCCTCACTTTCTGTCCTTGTAGAAAAGGAAAAGAAATAAGGGCAGCAGTTGTCACTAGGACAGGAACAGGCACAGTGATTGGATCTGCCAAGTTCAAGATAGATCAGGCTGATTCACAACCATGTGGGTATCTGCAAATATTTGTGATGCATTTTTACAGTATATACCCTAAAGCATTAAATATATCGGAATCAATGCTCTTTGGAATCAGGTTGGCACTTCAAAAGGAAGCAGGCACAAACAAATTGTGCCCAGAGCAACCCAGACCAAGAGCTGAGTGAATGAGACTTCTTGGTAGCTCCCTGGTACCCCCACAACATTCCAAATGGCCCATCATTATAATGGGTTATCTCACTGGCAAATAGCAGAAAGGAGGGGGTGGGCAACTTCCATAACTACAAGAAATGTTTGGAGCTCTGCCCATTCAGAAATACCCATCGTCTAACCGGCACAATGTCTTAGTGGTTAGTGCCTCTCTCTTTCATCACTGGGGGTCCCTGGTGTATATCCTGGGCAGGTCACTATCTGCAAGGCACTATCTGCAAGGCACTATCTGCATGTTCTCCCTGTGCTTGCATGGAATTCCTCTGAGTACTACGGTTTCCTACCACACTCCAAAGACATGCTGGTAGGTAATCAGCTTCTACCTAAATCAGCCCTAGTATGTGAGATAGGGAGATTAGATTGTAAGCTCCTTAAGGGACTGATTTCCAGCACTATATAAATGAATTCTGCTACGTGCCTACTGTATAGCTGCTGGTAGAGTCCCTTTAAATACTTCACATCCATCTTTAATAATGCTACATGAAGGGGTGCTAAATACACATATCCTGCTTGCTAAGCATTGTTGAAGATTGCATATTATGTTCCAGTTAGCAAACTTTAAGAGCACTGTTTTTAAGAATTCTTAAAAGGTTAGTCAACCCAAAACTGGTACTTGATTTTTGGCAGATGTTGGAAACACATTCTTGCAACTCTTATATGAGTTTCTGGATCTGCACAACCGCTTTGGCAGACTTCCTTATGTATTGAGTGGAAATGTAATTCAAGTCATTGGTGCTATTCTTACCAGGATGCGACATCACAAAGAGACCATTGAATCGGGCCTCAGTTTTAAAATTGACAACCAAACGTCCCTCTTCATTAATACGCATGCTGGTTGGGAATAGAGAACCTGAAAACAAATACAGTAGATGTACATTTATGACTTATTACTTTTTACAGATATAAAACTAGATCACTCACTTGAATGACAGATACTGAAATAAAAACTTAAATATTTTGGCCTCATAATGTGAAGGAAGGATTTACAGGAGATGGTTGGGAAAGACTGAAGATGAAAGGTAAAAGAAAGGATAGAAGACAAGGTGGATAAATAGCATTAATGAGTTGAATAATAAGAATAGTAAGCTCCGAAAATGTGACAACGATAACTGATACATATTTATTGAATGCAAGAACAATTTCTAACCATAGGATTAGGCTGGATAAAATAATGGTTCACCAAAAGATGGCAGTGTTGCTATTGCAATGTAATAATTGGTTTACAAATGTTCACATCAACAATCTTTAACCCAAGAATGTAATGAAAGGAATGACAAATGTTATATCAATGCAACAAAACCTGTTACAAGAAAATAAAATGGAAACTTTATATGGTATATATGAATAGGTCTTAAAAGTTAAATGGGGCCTCCATGGACCTGACTTTGAAGGCCAAGTCAACACCTCAAACTTGTTGACCATTTTTGCAGTGTGGCAGGGCGCATTATCCTGCTAAGGGGCCATCATATAATATTGTTTCCATGATGGGGTGTACTTGGTCAGCAACAATGTTTAGAAAGGTGGTACATCCCAAAGCCCACATGAATGGCAGGACCCAATTTAGCCTTGACGCAGTAGTGTGGTTTACCAAGTATGTGTGAATGTATGCAACACATTCTGCTGGATGAGGATGGGCTCTTGCCATAATGTTCAAATATCTACAGCATACTTGCACATTATGGCACACTTACCTTCTAGTGTGCCCTACTCGAGCTATGACAGTTCCAGGCTCCAGTTGTCACTCCCCCCAACAACATCTCCCCCACTGCTTCTTTTTAAGCACCATGATGCTCATCTTTGAACACTAGAAAGTCACTAATGTAACTCCTTCACATCTTCCCCAACACGCAACTCTATCCTCAGAATGCAGAGAATGAGCACGATTTCAGTTCCACTTGAGGCCAAGAGGCCTTTACTGCTGAATAGCTGAAGAGGATGCTGGTGAATCTTTGTTTTGTTCTTTGGATTGCCCTAGCCATGTGCACATATTTTTTTGCAAGTTATAAATTGGTATAAGCAGCTGCTCAGATCAATTTATATAAAAGGATAAAAAAACTAAAAGATAAATGATTTATTTACAAAGCACATCTAGATCAACTATATGGCATATTCAATTATTCCAAGTACCAATGACATAAACAAATCTAGCAAGATATTACCTTGTAATTCAGCTTCTGGTGGGCTACCAATACCATCCCTCCACAAGATGGCGGTGTCGTACACAAATGTGAGCCGCAGCTCTGAGTGCAAATCGAAATGCTGCCAGCCACCAACTCCCACCGGCGAGTGAAATACATAGGACACGTACAGGGGCACTCGCAGGGTTACATAGGACTGCACAAGATTCAAGACCTTTAAACAGAAAAGAGCATTTCAAAAACATGATTCCCTATACTTGTAACATCATATTAACGACAGATAGAAAACATTAAATCGATGATAGATGGCTGTTACTTTGTTTCTGCAATAAGTATACAGGGATGTTCTCTGTATTTTCAGTTAAACATGGCACTGCATTCTGTAACATGTTATTACTGACACATGCTTTAGTTCTTGTATTAACCCTTGCACTGCCCGAAACTGCCTGCTGCTAGCTCAAACAATGTTATTTTTTACTTTTATTTTATACAGTAGCAAAATTTTTAAGTGACGGTTTACACAAGATCCCCTAACCATACATTTTGTGAAAGTACTTAACTTATTGCATTAAAACACTGTATTGATGATTTTAAAGGTCCTATGGTAGTTGTGCAAGTGTTTATCAGAATGATAATACACTAAAATAATAATTAGGATAAACTACAATATCATCTTCAAAATTCCTAATATATGTAAAAGATAAAACTCCACCATGTTAATAAATCACATATATGTGTACATTTAAAAACGAACAACCAGGAACAAAATTTAGGAGTGCAGAAAAATGTGTAGATTTGAGATATACTGGTATCCAAATCCACAAAAGATCACGTGTACAAAATATAATACAATAAAAGAACTATTAGAAACTAAGATAGGCAAAAGTGTAAATAAATGAAAAATAAAAAACAACTACTAATTTATAAAATGAACCTTATACTAATATGATATCCCTAAGAGGATACATCAACTTCTAACATGTGCATGGATACATACTGTGGGTAGTTCAATAAGGATCTGATGTACAGCATACCTGTATAAGCTAAGGGCGCACATATTATGCATGTGTGTGTGTTTTATATGTTATATTGTTTTATATTTTACCTTTTTTTGTCACTACAACTCCTCTGGTAACAGTTTAGTCAGGTTGTGACTGGTACATTTTAAGGAGACATCAGGAGTTAAAAAACCCAAATGCCTCCATTATGTGCTACAGGAGATCGGGGATACAGAGTTCATGATCCTCTGTTCCTCCAACACCATACTGACACTGACCCCAAGTAGCTCTGGACAGCCTATAGATACAGTGCTAAAACCTCATCAATCTGGTACTGTATGTAAACAAAGTTTTGTCTAATTTAGGGCCTGTTCACACTAGCTCACACTAAATGTTTCAGAGAATGGGCTAGTGCGTTGTGAAAGCTCCGGCAGTGTGTGTTGTATCGAACACTGCTGGAGCTGTCTTTTTATTTTTTTGAATTTATGTGGAGTATAGAATATGTACACTCCATTCAGGTCCCCGCAAAGCAGCGTGGTGCACTGTGCTGTCATGCGGCGATCTGCGGTGGCATGCATTGCTCTGTGATAAAATACAGCATGATATTGCAGTGCAACGTCCATTGCATTATGGAGTGATTGTTTTCTGTGTGTCCTTGCAGTGACCTGTGTTGATTTGGTGTAGTACAATACAGGTCATCGCTATGTGTGTGAACGGGCCCTTAATAAAAATCTAATTAATTGAACAAGATTTATAGGGTTATTCACAAAAGAGTGAAGAGTTTGGAGAAGGCAGGAGAAGTGAACAATCTAGGACAACATAGCTGATTTGGAAAAATACTCCAATTCAGCTCACTTTCCAGTTCAGCTATGTTGTCCTAGATTGTACAATTCTCTGGCCTTCTCCAAACTCTTCACCCTTTTGTGAATAATCCTGTTAGTTTAGAGTTAAAATCGTAACAATGCTAAAAAACCCTCAAATAAATGTTCTTTAAACATGGAATGATACTCCTGAAAATCATTCATCTATTCTGGCTGTATGTGCTAACATATATCAGAGGAGAGTTTACACACGTCACAGACAGTGCATCAAACTGCCCATATTGATATCGGGTGAAGTCATGCAAATAATAATACCAGTATTTTAAAACTGGTTATTGCAAACTGCATACACCGGTTTCAGGCGTTCTACTTTTAATTATTAACAGTATATTCAAGGGCATGATTGAATACTTTGCATGGCTCTGCCCACTATCCTAAAATTTGGAATAAAACTCATTATTTTTTGGACTTTTTTAGACTTTTTTGGTGATTGATGTGAGATATGCAGATACCTTCTATATTAAAGTGGATCTGAACTCAAAAAGTTAAGATTTGCTATTTTATTGGGAAAATGTTACTTGTGTCTGAGCAGCACCCTGGAAAAATGTACCTTCTGCTTTAATTTCCTCCTGACAAACAACTGCACTGCCTGAAATGTATCTGTGCCTAGACATTCCTGTTCTTTATTCTAATAGCTGTGTATCTGCAGTGTGGAAAACATATAAGGTGCTGCTGCCACTGACTGCTAATCCCATGAGGTATGGTGATGTCACTGCTGTGCTGCTAACTGTTCCCCTGAGGGTTTGCTGGAAAGGAAGATGTACCCGAGGGCATGCGGTGCAAGCATTTCCCTGCTTCAATTATTCACTAGATCTGTTCTTCCTCCTCCTTCCTCTCCTGCATTTTGTGAATAAGAAACCACCAGTCATCAGAGAGGTGGGGCGGATCGGGGCAGCTCTGACACGAGGAAGCAAAGCCCTGCTCCTCTACCAAGACAGCCGCCTCCACGCAAAGACACAGTGCAGAACAAGGCATGGTAAGTTAGTAATGAGAAAAAGATGAATGTTAAAGCCTAATCATTTGCCCTCTGCTTGCCTTTTTTGGGCATAGCTTCCACAATACAGGTCCTCTTTAGGACAGCTCCACCTTGTTGGATGCCTTCCTTAAAATTATTGATTAAAGTAGTATTAAACTCTGAAATATTATTTCAATAAACAATCCAGATTAAACAAATATACATTGTCCAGAAAACTATCTCTTTAAATTTTTACTCAAGCACCTACAGTCATCATGTTTCTGAACAGCTGGTCCTAACTCTCTCTGCTCTGCTTCCCTGAACTACCTGTCCAGTACAAGATCACAAGGGACAGAGCAGTCTCCAGCAGCTGTTCATCTACTAGTTTGGAGGTGGAAGGAGGGTGAAGAAGCAGGGAAGTGGCTTGCCTTGCTGTGCTTGTGAAGAGACACACAGCTTACTAGCACACACAAGGGGGGGCTCCATAGGACCCTGCAAAGGAAAGGAGCCACCCTAAAACAGGATATCAGGACCAGTGATCAGGGGACCAGCTGATTCTGACAGAAAATAACAAACATCAAGGAGCAGCATCCATTGTAAGAGATTTAATCAGCATTTGAAAAAGCTTAAAAACATTTTGACTTTAATCTCACTTTATCAGTCATTCTGAGATCATTTTTGTAAACTGTCCTACAAGTTTGTTGAATACTTACCTAAAATGATTTCCATATATGACCAGCCTTAGACACACAGGTTAAGTAAATGAAAGATGAAAGTGTGGTAATACATTTGTAGAAAGTGACAGGGCAGTGAAAAGGAATGAATGCCCCCTTCTGTACAGTCTCCAAGATAGAAAAGTGATAAAGAGTTCCTGTACCGACGCCTGGCTTATAAACATATTTCCTTCCCAGTTGTTCTAGGCTTTCAGTTGTGATAGATTAGCAGCCTCTGTTGACTCCATGGAGTCTAAGTAACTTGACTGGGCTTTGCTGCTAATCGTAGGAAGCACAGGTGCTGCGTGAACCCGTGGTAATCGCAGCTTTATGATGAGCAGTGTTAAACCATCAGCATACACAGGGCTTGCTTTACATAAGAGAGTGTTGACATATCATGCCATACGTTATGCCCAAAGCACACAGAGGATTAATCCAACCTTGTGCATTGATATCCAGTAGTATAATCTTAAAAGGAGAGGCAGGAAGACACATGACTACTATGCCATGGTCACTGGAAAAGCAGTGGGTCATGAGAACAGTAGCTTTTCAATAATTTCACCATAATAATGATGTATCCACTAAAACCTGCTATATAAATATAGTTTATGTATATTTTACTGTTCTCAACATAAACTTCCAAAAGTTGCCCTGGCACTAGAAAATAGTGGCAGAACATTGCTTTGACTCCATGACACCCCTTATGAAAATCAGAATATCATTTGGGTCCTTCAGGGCACATTCTACATCCTAAAGCACCCTTTCTCTCTTTGCAGCTCTGTGAACTAAGGGGATGCAGTCAAACTGAATATATCTTTAGCCACAGTAGCCAATTAATGCATTTATTTTTTTAAATATTTTAAGCAGGTCTAAAGTCTAAAAACAAACAATATGTACACTTCCATGGGTGGTACTATAACATAGGCAGTATGCAACAGGTTGTGGATATTGAAGAAAAGTATAACAAATTGGATGCCTCAGCATTGCCTTCCAGATCAGGGGATATCCATGCACCAAGGAGCCAAGCGATAGGTTATGGGAGTGGATCTATGAATAATTTAAAACATGTTGCTAGATTAGAATCTAACAGAAAATCTAACAATCTTTAAACTATTGTACCCGAAATCAATCTGATGTCTCAGACGACATGCGAGTAACAATACTAAAACAGCACACATCTACCTGGTTGTAGCTATCAATCAATGTCATAGAATCCTTATGATTTTCATTCCACTGTTTTTCTCCCAGCTATCCATATGTAAAGTAAAATTAAGCTATTGACAAATTAATTCTGGTACCTAAAAGGACTGGTAATGATAATGAGTCCGGTGAAGGGGTATGGGGATATACTGGACAATACCCTGGGGATCTGTAATTGTAAAAAAGGTTGAAATCCTCCCTGTGCTCAGATGTAGTGATTCATACCCTGTAGCTCCTAGCTGTCTAGCAGCTGAGGATAATGACAGTAGTGAGGCTTCAAGTGGAACAGAGTTGCTATCTGTCCTGCTGTGTCTCTCTGCTCCCCTGAGCCTCGTCATTCAGTTGACGTTTCCAGGAGCTCTGAAAAGGTACAGCAGGACAATGGTAGCAAAGTAATGCCAGTTTAGAATAAAAGTTTATGTTTCTGCTATCTCTGTTATTAAAATATGCATATAATATAGAATTTA